ACAAACTGACCCACTAAGTACTTTCTGGGAATTCCTTTTAAAGTAGAATCCCACAGAGCTCATATACTAGGTGATAGATATTTTGACTTGCACTTTCTGGGGAAATACAGCAGAAAATTTAAAAATTAAGTTTAACAAAGAATTTTAGTGTGTGTATACATTAAAGAAAAGACGTGAGTTACAAAGCTTTGCAAATACTCTTCAATGCTTTTATCTCTCACCTCGTCTCATTCTTCTGTGTGGTGGGAGACTTTGGCATTTCAGTCTAGATGGAGTTCTTCTCCTGCTTTTCTTTACAGTCTCTCTCAGTGTGGTCCTTCTGAAGTGCAATAATCTTTTTGAATGGATATTCAGAAGACAAATTTGGTTTTTATGTTTCCTAGGCTGTTGTATGGAGACACTCTTGTTTCACAAGGACTCCTAAGAGCTTGAGAGTCAGCCAGAGGCAATGTTGTTGCTTTATCTTGAATAGGTTTTAGAGATCAAGGTTCAATAATCAAAGAAAAGTGGCCTCCAAGAGAACCACAAGAATGTAAGTACCAGAATCAGTGCATCATTTCTGACAGAAATCCAAGTTTTTGGATAAAAATTTCCAATCTTCTCAAGATTGCCCCTTTCCTAATTTCAGCAACCACTTACAAAAAACCAGTAAAGTGAAAGTACTTTCCACCCTGGATCTTGATGTCTATACTCCTAACAGCCCTAACCCCCTCCATCTTTGCTGATAGCTCACACTTTCCAGACTGTTCCCTTGGGCTAACCTTGATAGCAGCCACAACACATAATGTGGCACAACCTAAGCCATATGAGGCCACATTCGTTTCTGCAGGAGCTGCACCGTGTTTCCCATATATCTTGAATATATATTTTAAGGCTACCCAAAGCATCCTCTGGGGTGCTGATCTCTCTGCACTGGTCTATAGATGGTTATAGTTAGGTGAAACACACCTCTGTCACTCTGAACTACCTCAAATAGTTCTTGCCATTACTGTTTGCAAATGAAAACAAAGTCTATTAATTCCTAAATATTTTTCCTTTGTACTTTAAAACAGGACCTTATTTATATTACGAACATCCACAAACTCTTTCAGGGAGTTTTTGAATATGATATTAATATCTTCTTTCTTCTTTTTCCTTCTTCTTTTTTTTTTTAACTTGGGAGAGGAATCCTCATAGATCACTGTAAACCTCTATAATTTTCATTTGCACATTGCTACTTTCAAGCTGTTAAAAAATGTAAATGTAAAACAAGCTCAGACCCATGAGCCAGTCTCATGTTTCAATAGTAACATCTTCCTTTTACTTTCAGTAGAGTCAGTTGCTTTCTCTGCTCTAGCCCATCCCTAATCTTCCATACAATTCATGCACTTATCCCTATCTTCTCCCTTTTAAATAATGATTGTCACATCAAATGCTTTATTGAAATCCAGATAGATTACATCTACTTCATTTCCCTTATCTAACACAGTCTTATGTTATCAGAGGAAGTTATCAGATATGTCTAGTGTTATCTCTCTTTGGTAAGTACAAGATGGTATTCACAGACTGATCCAGACATACCCTGATCATATGCACTATCAATTTACATTTCTTTCCCAAACAAAGTGGACCCTACCACTATAAGATCATTTTACTCCTACAAAAGACACATATTCTTACAGTGATCTACATCATAACATTTCTTTTAGGGATTAATTATAGTTTCATTCTGATGTTCTTTTGATCCAGAACAATTTGAAATCCTACGTAAAGCCAAGGATGGGACTAATCCCAGTAACATAAAATGTCAAGGTATATTCTCCAGGGAAACTGACTTAAAAAGAGCTATACCTGTGATTGTCACACCAGAAAGATTTTGTTGATAATAGTTATTTTGGTAAAGACAACTTTCTGCTAAATCCCCTTCTGTACAAATATCAGGTTTTACAGATCCTGCAGTGAAAACTGGCGAGGAATTATGCCAGTAATGTCTTCTCTAGTCCCACGCATGCAACTCTGTCAGTACCAGTAGCAAGAGAGAAATGTTCCAAGAAAAAGAAAAATGAAATGTCACCTTTGAAGGGACATAGGATTTGCCATAGCAAATCAGTATACTCATTCTCTGCAGTAAATACAGGACATCATTTTCATGTGACAGAGTATTCCTATTGCTTCAGAATAGGGAAAAAAATAAAAATAGTAAAACAGCTAATACACCTGACTGCTTAAGAAAATTCTTTCATTCACAGTGGATACAGTGAAGCACCCATGAAATATTCTTACATCAAGTTCAATGGAGGTGGTGTCTAAGTGCATGCAGGATTAAGGTCATACTAAATATAGCTGTACTAAGAACATAGTCTCTAGTATGAACATGCTCATTCTGTAGAAGATAAAATCAGTCAGATTCTTGGCTCAGAGATGAGAGAAAAGGATTAAAACAACTTTTCAAATTTTCATTGGTTCATATACACAAGATGAGAGAGTTGGTCATTGTCTCACAAGTGTCCATGGTGAAAAATTACAAAGATTTAAAAAGCTGCAGCTTCATTCAACTCTCCTTCTTCCTCTAGCTTTCCTCTGTCCATTCTCTTTCTCTTTAGGGTTTTCTTCTTTCTTATGTCACATCTGCTTCAATAATTACAGGGAATGATGTTTCAACCATCTGCCATAATAGATTTGGATCTGGATGAAGCCTTTTCTTCTTCCATTACCAGATTGTGAAAGCAACTTGGAACTGAAAATAAAGATGAGAAAGCAAAGAAGTTAGGAAAAAAATGATGATCTGTAGTACAGTCATCATGTATATTATGACATTAAAATTACTCCCATGACGATTATGAAGAAGATTCTAAAATTTTAATAATTTTTTTCTTTTTACTTCCAGTGAGCTAAAAAAAAATAATTATTTTTTTCCTTTGGCTGAGAGAAGGGGAGTATTACTAGCAAGGAATAAGTAGGTAATCACAGCACAGAAACTTGAAGTGATTTGTTGAAATGTATACAGAAAGTGTGAAAAGTAGACCAAGAGGATCACCACACCATGTGTGACTTGAGTTACACCTAAGTCTCTTAATCATATGAATGTATCGGAAGTTGTGACTGTGTATGCATTTTAGAAGGACAGAATTTGTTCTCATCATGTTGTCTGGAGAAAAGTGTGACCCACTGTAATGTGCTTTAATTTATTCTCCTGTGGGCAAACTCATTGTGAATGCAGAAACAGACACTGTGGTGATTAGATTTAATAGGATTAGGACTCCCTGATGCCTTGCTTGTACAGTCATTGTTCAAATTCTTGTAGAAGGAGCATTTTAATTTCATTTCTTTGTAAAACTCAAACTTCATTATCTCTTCAGGTTGTTTATAATTCAATTTATTACATAATATTTATTTTCTCTTCTAATAATTACACCTCTACTTCACCTTCCTAACTTGGCTGGTTTAGGCTGAGGTAGAGTTAATTTTCTTCACAGTTGCTGGTATGGGGCTGTGTTTTGGATTTTTGCTGAACACAAAGATGTTTTGTTATTGCTGAGCAGGGCTTACACAGAGCCAAGGCCTTTTCTACTTCCCATACTGCCATGCTGGTGAGGAGACATGGCTGGGACAGGTGACCCCCAACTGACCAAAGAGATATTCCATACCATATGACATCATGCTCGCTATATAAGTGGGAGGAAGAAGAAGGAAGGGAGTGATGTTTGGAGTGATGGTGTTTGTCTTCCCAAGTAACCATCACATATGATGGGGCCCTACTCTCCTGGAGATGGCTGAACACCTGCCTGCCCATGGGAAGCAGTGAATGAATTCCCTGTTTTGCTGTTCTTCTGCTTGTGGTGTTTGCTTGCTGTATTAAACTGTCTTTATCTCAACCCATGAGTTTTCCAGCTTTTACCCTTCCTATTCTCTCTATGATCCTGCTGGTGGGAGAGTGAGCAAGTGCTGCGTGGTTCTTGGTTGCTGGCTGGGGGGAAGCTATGACAGTAACACATCTCTCTTACTGTACAGTACTCTCTGTAACAGGCTTGGTACTTTTAGCATGTTGCTGATTTTCTGGTTGCAATTCTCTCTTTAATCCTAATCGCTATGAGACTTGTTCCCTGCAACAGAATGCTTCTGTGGATACAGGTAGGTACTTTCCTTAACCAATTTCCTAAAGTGCAAAATTCAATCTCCCATTTTGTTCAAGCATAAGTTCACTAGAGGGAATTAACAGCCTAAAGGGAACAAATGTGAGATAGTGAAGACTCATTTTCTTCTAGGTATCCCTGCTGCTCAGTTTTTGACCAGGAAACTATTCTCATTTCTGTTCTATACACAAGATGGTGGTTTAACTGCTTCAGTGACCAATCAGATGTTGCTGGATCATTGCTGGTGGCATGAGTAGACACATATTTCTGTCAGACTGTTGCAATCTGTAAGTTTTTGTTGTGTTAAAAAGGATATCAATGTGCTGGTATCACCAGCAATTCAAGGTATTTCGTGGTGGTGGTGTTTTTACTCGTATCACTATGAAAGTAGGGCTGCATTCCTCACTGCTACTCTATCCTACTTTTAATGAGAACTGCAAGATCTGTTGTTAGTATATAGGCATCTTCTGTAACTGCATCATAGAGAAATATTTTCATTATTTGAGCCTCTTCTTCACCCTAATAGCTGTCCACATATTTCCTACATATCTGGTTTATAATCAAAGCAAGATAAAAGCTAGGTCATCCATTCTAAAAAGAATACAGTTAGCTCAATGTGGTTTAATAAAAAAAATCAAAGCTAGAGTGATAGCGTACTTCTAGAATTTAAAAAAGACCTAAACTAAGCCACATTCAGCTGACCATTTTTAAAATTCTACTCTGTATATGGCCCAGAGTGTTAAATATAGCATGCTCTTGAGTAAATGAAAATAGTTACAGTGGTCTACTCTTCTTAAATATGCCTTATGAAGGAAAAAAATACTAAAAAAGTTTTCTTTTACATCTTCTCAATGCTAAAGCAATTGCTGAAAAGTTTAATTTATTAACATGTGCAGAGGTCGGCGCTTGAATAAAGACCTCCACAACTTGTCTGGGTGCAGCTGGTAAGGTGATTTTATTATAAAAGTAACGGGGCAACTGAACAGCTTAAAGGAAGGAACAAAAGGGCACAAAAGGCACTGCACAAAATGGCTCCAGCCTTAAATAACATGGATAAGGAAGGCACTAGAACAGAAGGTGGGGTTTAGGTGGAGCATGCAAATTACAACCAATCATAGGAAACAGGGGCTGAACATAACCACATATGGTACTGCATCAAATATCAACCAATGAAGGAACAGAACATACATAAAATACAATACAACAACTTATATGCAAAATCTATGACTTCCTTACTAATTAAACATTTTTAGACCACCACAAACATGGTTTTATGTGTTGGGTGCTACTGCAGTGTTGGAGCTCTGGAGAGGAAAACTATTTAAGACAAATAAAAGCCATTATTTTTTTCTGTAAAGCTCAAGGAAGAGGTGAACAGTCAGGAGTCATACTTGCCACTGCAGTTTTCTAGGGATGAGGCCTAAAGCTGTGAGATATGTGGTGATTTCCTTCTGTTCTGTTCTGAATTCTGTTCTGTCGCAGCTCTGTGGCACTCTTGTGCGAGACCCACAGCTTCCGTAGCTCTTAATATCCCTCTTCTACATATAAGGTGGCTGGCCCCAATTTGTGATGACAGTGACATTTGACTACAGTCTCACCTCCAATTCTTCCAAAGTATAAATTGTCATTTGAAATACTCTATGGCAGAGGATTAGAATACAAGCCCATTTTGAAGACAAGTCAATGGGCTTGCTCCTCTCTCCTCCCCAAAGCAGGGATGTCTCTTTGGTAAGATTTGCATCTCTGCATCTGTCAGAGCACAGACGGGTGAAATTAAGCTTAATTGATGGTAAAGTTAAGCCTAATGAATTACCAGTTGGGTTGGTTTTTTGTTTCATTGGTTTGGTTTGGTTTGTTTTTTTGTTTTTTTCAGGGTTTTTTGTAAGATTTAGCACTAATGCAGTAAACGCATTTTCTATGGCAACTCCAAACTTGTTTTTCCGTTGCTTCAATAAACCACACTGTTCATGAATCTGCAATTGTGAAGGTTCTTATTGAACATTACCAGATTTAAAGTGCTGAATTGGCTGTATTTGAAATGAAGCCCAGCCACACCCAACCCTCTCTGATCTCTAAGGCTCAGCGGGAACACAAGGGGATTTATTTTCTGTCAAATTTCTATACTCTAAATGCAATAAGTTTCATTTTACCCAACTGTCATGGTTTGAGAGCCCCAAAATCCAATTCCCGAGTCCTAGCCCCCCCTCCCACATCTCGACCCAGTGTGAGATGGGTTTTCCAGACACCTCACGAGACTCAGAATGGGGGGAAAGGGTTATATTACAATAACTGTACAAAATAAATACTACAATACATTATATACAATCTTAACTATCTCTACCATGACAAAACAGTATTTACAATGGATCAAATCTCTTCTTCCTCCAAATAAAAGTCCAGGAGGGAAGGAGGAAGAGATCCTTTCTACTCTCAGAGCAGCAGCCCCTAGGGCAGCAGTTTCTCTTTCTCTCTTCCATGCAGCAGCTGTAGCTGGATCTCTGCCAGTACACACGAGAGAGTATCCAAGCCCCTCACGGCCCTTCGACGCAGGCGAGGGTCTTCACTTTCGTGGGCTGTGTTCACCAGGACAAAGGTCACATCACCACGTCATATCGCAAAGCACAGGGGTCTTCGTGACAGTCCTTATCTTCAGGGGATTCAAGCCCCTTGCAGAGCTTCTGGCTCTGATCTCAGGCTGCTAGCTTCTTTGTAGCTGCAGCGAGGGGGGGGGCAAGGTCACCCCCCCACACACATTCCATTGGCCGTCCTGGTCCAGCTTTCCAGGACACCTGAGCTTCTTAGCTCCTCTTTCAGCAGTGCTGCTGCACTTTAGGACTTCCATTCAGTAGGAGTCCACCCCCTCCATTTTAGGAGGGATCTCAAAGGAGTTTGGGGCTTTGGTTCAGTTCTTACCCAAACTCTCTCTCTCTGTAGAGCTTAGTTCTGCTCTGTCTCTCTCCGTTAGAGATCTCTGTGTCTTCTTTCCTTGGTTGCAATGCCGGCTCTGCTGTTGCTTCTTATCTGTTGGCTCTCTGCCACCTTCCCTCGGTCAGTGCTGTTCTTGCTGCCACTTCTGCTGCTCACGGTGGAGAAACATCCCCCAGCTCATAGCTACAGGTACTTAGCCCAGCCTTACACTGTTCCAAGTCCCTGTAGCCCCCCAACCAGGGACTGGGGGGGGCCAGAGCCCCCAAGGGGCTCCTGCCCCTTCTCCTCATGGCCTCAGAACATGGCCACCTCTCCTCCAACAACAACTACAACTACTTCCTTTTCCGGTCTGCTTGTGATATGTTTATATTTTGCAAGAGCGCTCATTGGTTTCACCCCAAGGGTCACCACCCCCTCCGGGGGTTACCATTTTTCTTAACTTCAGGGGGGAAAACTGTTTTCCCCCACCACAACTCTCCACCCCCTTGCTCTTGCGAAATTTAAACATATCACCACAATTTGAAAAACTCTAATCAACATGCAATCTTCAACAAATCGAGAATTGGATTTTGGGGCTCTCAAACCATGACACTAACACTAAATAGAAGTTGACAATGATAGGTAAAAAACAAGAAATACTGCCACTCTGCCTGGCTTGCAATACCTGATCTTTCACATGGTGAAGGTAATACATTTTCACCATGCTATTTACACACTTTACTTTGGCTGTAATTAATGTTCCTTATACTATAGTGTTCTTCTTAATGAACACTTATTTCTTGCAAAGTTGGATCAGCTTCTGAAGAAAGGGCTAAAAGAGCAACTGCAAGAGATTAGGAGAAATAAGTTTCATTTTAAACTGGCAAAGATGGAACTTGGTAACTTTTACTGCTGAACTTGGGTTAAAGGGAAGGCAATATCTCTTTATTTGGCTGAGCTCAGACAGTTGTACTTTAAGACTAATGAACAGGTTTAGCAGTAAAGAAAAGTAAACATATGTCTGGTTTATGCCTTCCTATAGGGTGTAAAAGTGAGCTAGGTCCTAACTGCTGAACAGTCATAAAATTAAAATGACTTAGAATAAGATTGATTTTGCAGCTGTTCTAAGAAGAGCAGGGGGTCCCTGCTCTTTTTTACACCACCTGTAAATGTGGGTGTGTGTCAGTCAGGCAACAATTGATCTTTGAGGATCTGACAGCTCCTAGCTTGCTCGATAGATGCATAAAGTGCTCTCAATCTAACAAAAAAGAAGTCAGACTTCTCTTTTTTACAATAAATAAAAGATTAAAGACACTCCTAGGATATGTCAGTGTGGAAATATCAAGGCAATATTAGGTATGGACGTACAACAACATTGTGTTTGGTTTGGTGTCTACTTGCCATTGTCAAACTGCAAAAAGGATGCTCAAGCTTCATACATTTCAGGAAGAGCAACAAAAGTGATCTAAGGTGTTAAAAATAGTTTTTTAGTAAGACAGTAGAGAAATTTAGTCTGGTTATCCACAGGGAATTGACCAGGTGATCTTATCATTGCTACATGGAAAAGAACTTTCTGGTGGTAGACAGAACTATATTTTATCTGGTCATAGAAATTAGATTAATCTATTAAAAAATAAGGCACATTTTCAACAATGAGTATAATCATTAAAATAACCTCTCCAGGAATGCTGGATTTTCAGTCATTCAAAGTCTTTAAATATTGGATAATTTTTATTTTAAGTATGCAATTATTTATATGACATTAAAGATTTCACAAAGAAATTAGGGTTCATTTGTCAATTCTGTAAAGAAGGAGAGGCTACATAAGCAAATTTAGCCTCTTCTTTTCCAAATAACCTGTTATTTTCATCTGATTTATTTATACCAGTCTTCACCAAAAAATGTGGCAAAATATGTAATTCTAATGCATATTTTTTGTTCAACATAAATACTAGCATTGAAAAGGGAGGATGTCAAAGTAGGATAAGCTAAGGTGAATTAACATAGCAAAGAAAAAACAATTTAGTGACTGGACAGTGGAAATGGCTTTCCAAATAACCTCTTAAAAATCACTTTTCCCTATATTAATATCCTGTGTCACTGTGGGCTCACTTAGTCTTCCTCTCTCAGAGTTTTTTATCTTAATTGAGCTTAAATGATTTGTAAACTGATAGCTAATTCTTTATTTTATTTTCTAATAATGTCATTTGTTGTTAATTATGTAATCCTAGACCAAAAGCTAAACACAAAACAGTTACTAGTCACAACGGTACCCAGCTTGTCAGTAATGGTAATACATCAATAAAACACAGGTTTAGTAATTTACAAATTAAGTTCTCTCCAAAGCTCAAAGCAGTAGGCATAAGTCAAAGAAATCTGTATTGCAAAACAGATAACTATCTATTATACTTTAACAGAAGTGCTAAGTTTAACTCTATGAACTAAATAGCATTTCAAAATGCATAAGAATATGAAGGAATAGATAAAATCCCTCAAGAGCATTTGACGCCAGAGCAGCTAGTGATTCAAAGTTGTAATCAGATTATTCACCTATAGGAAATCACAAATAACTCATATCTACTTATCACTCTAATATTACAAAGCGTCCTCAAACACTTTTATCTTTAATAAAATAGTAATCTTCAAAGAACCAAGGTACAGTTTATAAAAATAGGCCTATATAATTCCTATAATAGTTTCTTAAGATTTTTGATTTACATAATTCTTAAAAGGAAATTCAGCAGCAATACTTGATCTGAGATATTTAAAAGGTGATAAGCATACTTCATATGATTCCAATCCTTTGGAAAGCTGTAACTAAAGTGATTAGAGATAGTTTCAAGTATGTGAAGAATTAAGACAGAGGCAGTCTGTCAAGCACTGTTTTATAGTATGATTAGAAAGTCCATGATGCAATTTCAGTTAGTATTTGGTGATTTTTTTTTTTAATCTTGCTATGACTAATATTTACTGCTGTCCATGAAAGTCCTAATCAAGATACACTTTGCTACTTTCTCTGCCTTAATGGAAGCATCTTGTGGTATTGTGTTTGTTCGCTCTTCTGTACACACTACACAGCTTTTTTCACACAATTACAGAAAAACATAACATTTAAGGATACTTAGATTTATTTTTCTACAGAAAGGCATATCTTACCTCCTATGAGAAAGAGAAAGGCTATTCTCTATCTTGACTCTCTGTTTCTGTGGCTTGTTTACTTATTCTACATAGAACAGAGCAGCTTCAACAGCCGTTTTGAAACTAAGGAGCTTCTAGAGCCTGTGTTCTCCCACTGCCCCATCTTCCTCTCCTCC